ATCCAAAATAATTTCATATTGGGAGCATTATTTAGTTAATAGAAAAAAAAATATACCATCAAAATAACATGTCATTGCAATTTATAAATTGTACTTTACATAATCTATCACTTTTCTCATTTGTAATACATTTTAATAAATCTATGCAATCACAATAAGGTAAAATATATTTAAGATACCAAAAGTCAAGATTTTTCTAAAATCAACATAAGAAAATCGTTATACTTGTTGTAATTATTGTTGGAATTTTCTCATTTTCTTGTAGTAAAACTAAGACTCCAAATCTATAAAAAAAATGCATTATATATAATATTGTGTGCAACTATTATTATGAAAATTTTTTATACGATATAAAATATAACACATTCAATGTAATTGGCGTTCAATTTATGATAAGAATTATTTTTCTTTTTCAAAACAAACAAGATACTTTGAAAGGATGTATATTTTAATCATGACTCCATAATAATAAACTTTACTTTACAAATGACTAAAAGTATCGTCATATAATGGAATTCTAATTCTTCTGTTGTCAAATATTTTAACAAATGATATGCTTCTCAATATTTTCTCATTGTTTTGTTTTATCATTGAAAAAAATAGATTATATTGTTCGTCTATATTCTGGATAAATAACACTAAAAATGAAATGTAGGAGTATCAAAACAGTTTTAAATGTTAGAACTAAGTTGCCACTTCTTATAGAAATATTTATAATCTCATTGGTGTATTGTGCTTGAACATATGTGCAATTACTTTAGAGGTACTTTCAGGTAATGTGTGATGATTTCAAAAAATAATTTAGCACCTCGAGAGAAGTACATGTAACCAATATTTTAGAAAGTCAGCTTTTATTTGGAGATAAAATTCATTCCCACCTCGTGGGGCGATGCATCAATGGGGTAGACACCAATAAATCTAGAGATAGAGGAATGTAGTAGTTTATACAGTGATAAAAAATATTAGCAATTTTAGTGACACCGTTAGTTATTTTATAGAGGTATTTATCATTTGTTAGTAGAAGTACCTTGTTATAAAGATCATACGATCATGAAGTTTGACTATATGTTGGGTCAGAATGTCTCTTAAGTGTTTGAATAAAATTGGCGTTTTGTCAAATTAATTAAAAGGAATTTTGCAATAGTATTGATGTATTGGACTCCAACGACTATGAATGTTCTTATGAGAACGTTAAAATTATAATGAAAGAAAATCTTTGTGTTTTTTATTAGGAATTTGTTTTTTATATATATATTTTTGGGGTTTGTAAAACGTTATTTTACTATTTTTATATGAGGACATCATTATGTTAATTCTAAATAAAAAAAACATCACATATGAGTTTATTTTTTCTATATTTTACTTCATTTATGCAATGATATGTTTAATAAATAAATTAATTTATTTTACAAACGTACTCCACGAAAATCATTCGACACCACGTGCATCGCACGTGCACTTTACTAGTTCTTAAAAAATTTGAGTAATATAATTACTATACATGAACCTGGTGGTGAAGAAGTAGGAGAAAATGTTCGTCCGAAAAACCCTCTCGAGCCTCGGCTCGTCGATCTCCTCCACCGAACCAGCCTCATGCGGGCACGGCAAACGAATCCTTAGCCCCTTCATGCTTAGCATTCCTCAACATCTCTAACGTGTCGTTTGCATCCTTCTCCTCGTGGCCCTTGACGTACGTGAATGCCACGCTGGCGCCCTCCAGGGAAAAGCAGTGGCACACGGCCCGGCCAATGCCAGAGTCACCTCCGGTGACTAGGGCAAACTTCCCCTGCATAATCGGGATCAATTGGACATGAACATGATGAGAGTTCAAATAGACACTAGATTTGAATTAAATTTATGTGTTTAAACTAAAAAAAAAAAATTGAGTAGCGCTATAAGTAGTAGATAAGGGTACATAACATTTATATTAGTGGGACCCACCAAAAATAAAAATCAAGTGGACCCCTGTTACATACATCTCTACGTACGTTATTACATTTTCTAAAAATTTATCGGTCATGAAAAAACCAAAACAATTTTATTTCCAAAATTTGAAGAAAAAGGCGTACGTACCACGAGCTTGTCAGAGGGCTTGTACTCTTGCGCGGTGGCCCGTGGGGTCGGGTCCATGAGATGCTCCTTTTCGGGCTGGGTGTCCTGTTTCGGGAAGGAGACTTTTTAAACCTGGTGTGGGTAATAAAGATGAAAGTCGGACCTTCACACCAGAAGTTCGTAAATTTACCATCTTTTATGCTGTAATTGAGTCTACTTCGTAATTTCCTTCAGATGATTTCTACCTGAAAAATAGAATTGGTTGTTTAATTCGTGTTGATATTAATAATTTTCGAATCTTCTATTGTTGTATCCGACTTTTGGCACGACGGTACTTTTTTCGCTGCTGGAGTTTTTCCTTCTAATATTTTAGGTTGTTCTGATATTACTTTGAACCTGGTGTGGGTAATGCAGATAAAAGTTGGGACCTTCACACCGGAAGTTCGTAAATTTACCCTATTTTTATGGTGTAATTGAGTATTTTACTTCATAATATCCTTGAGATGAGTTTCTACCTGGAAAATAGAATTGGGTGTAGTGTAATGCAGTTGGAGTAGTATTTACCCTACTTTTATGGTGTAATTATTAATTGATTTTCATTAGATTTTAGAGACTTATTAAAAGTCTTTAAAAGTCTCAATTGAATACATGTAAACTTTTTAGAAGTCTCTAAAATTCTAATTAAATATACCAGAATTCTGAAAGTTTTAAAAAATCTCTAAAAATTGAAATTGAATACACCTTCTAAGTTTCACTTCATAATCTCCGTTCGGGTGGAGCACCCGTCCCGTTATGTAAGACGAGTCGACATTCACGAGTCGACATTCGAAGCAAGAAAAACATACGAAGGGGCCACCTCAATAGACTGCCCTGTCGTTTTCATGAACTTATTTTTTCGAAACGATAAATATATTAATAACTAAAAAAACTCAAACGAGTGCAATAAAAGTTGTTGGAGTAGTATACCTGGCGTTCCAATCAGATTGGACGCATTCCACTTGTAAATACAATCTATTGGAATTATATTAAATAATAAGGCATTACTTTATTTTAAGAGTAAGCATTTATCATATATTTGCACTTAAGATAAAATCCCTAGATCACTTATAGCTATAAGATATGGTTGCGCATAGAGATGGTGATTATGGAACATATCTTGAAAGATGTGATCTTAAATACAGTTCCAAGTCGTTGGATGTTTCGAGATGGGATATCGAATAAATCCGGAAAAGACTTGCACATAGTATGTATGCT